GGCTATTCTTAACATCTGGCTTCTTGGTGTTTAATTCCCCAGCGTCTCGTTTTCAGCCTGATCATTTGGAGAACATCTTACAGATATTCCCACTCTGGTGATTCTAAATACGAAAGAGGTGAGCAGAGACAGTCCTGCAATCTTGAGATTCTTTTCATCTTTCCACGAAGGAATAGGCTACCCTTGGGCTCCCGCTTTCTAAGTTCAACTCGTCCTCTTCTAAGGCAAACCTACGGGAATTCAAGCCCAAAAGCACCGTTTCTTCAGTCTCCGACAGTCAGAGGATAGTGAAACATGGACCTCAGAGAAACATTACCGTCTGGGTTCAATACAGTAACTGGACTGACCAAGACTTACAAAAGGCAAATAGTTATGCCAGCCAACTAATAATTAGGCACCCATACCGAGCACATGTCAGGAGAAGCCACTCGCCCAGACTGTTACCATACTCCTTTCTTCTGCTTCTCCGGAGACTAAGGATGAGATTCGAAAATTTTCACAAAGGTAGGCATCCCTCAGTAGAGAATGAGGTAATGTCAGTGCTAAAGAGCATTATAGCCTTGCTGAAGCAGCCCGACCAGAGGCCAAGACCGATGTTATGACGTGGCACGAGGAAAAGGACCGATATTCCTGGCACGCTCACTGCAAGACAACGGACCACCTGTGGGAGGAATACATATCTGACGAAACTGACCAATATCCTGGGCTACAACGACTTTGATTTCTTGACATTGGCCAAAGCCATCAGGGCCACTAGGTGCTGCCTTGCATATCACTCGGCCTTCCCTTGCAGCAGGAAGCCTGTCATGATGAGAATCGGGAGATAGCTCGTCAGCTGTGTTCAAAGCAACACCTGGACGCCGGCATCTCAACGAACGTCCGGTCCACGGGCACCAAGCTTCACAGCTTATCCGCAAGACAGAACTCGCAAATACCCCAGCCGATGAGCGGTGCTTCCTCTCCGGGCTTCTACGATGGGCAGGATTGCTCAGGTGAGATAAATTTCTCTCACCCTAGACGGAGTTGAAGTCACGGAACGTCCCTTTCTTGCCAAAAGTCGTGTCGTCACCGGTGTATTTATAAAGCTGATTTCTGTCCACGTTGCAAGTTTGTCTTACACAAACCCCATACATAGTATCACGAAGGACGACTTCTCCCTTGCTCGACTCCCCCTTCCGGCGTCTTACAAGGAACCAACATCCTCCTACACCCCCCCCCGTGAACAGCGGAGCACAAAAGCAAACAGAACAAGCCCACTCCCACTCCGCGGCCGCATTCCAAAAAAAGGCGGAAATCAAAAAGACATAATATCACGGAAGTGAACAATGGGCCTGGTGCCTCAACTCCCGCCATTACGGATCACCCTTGTTCATAGAGAAACCCACAGGGGGGGGCCTCAACGGAGGAACCTCATCTCATTCTTGGCGGGTGCTGCTTACATGTGCCATAACCTGGACATGGGTTCATGTGAAGGACACAACACGCGCAAGCAACATGGATTCCTGGCCCAATCTACGGAGTAGCTGGCTATTATCGCCGACTTGCATGGGAAATCTGCTGGAGCACTTGCTCAGAAAGATCTCGATGCAATGACGACTCTGCTGCTTGTACAGACAAGGCAACGCGGAAACTACCAAATTGGACATATCTTCATTGTGATTTGTTCTGCGGCAGCTCATGCCTTTACAGCTTTCAAAGATAATACCGCCCACAACGCTTATCCTATGTGTCATTGGCGCCGATATCGAAACATCAAAGGGCGCTTCATATACTCAACTACCACGGAGCAGCAAAAACCCATCTCTCCCCCCCCCCAAGCACGCTACCATCACCGCATGAAATTGCTCAGTCATCCCTTGAAGCTGACCTTGACAAAGTGGACCACCTTCTCCCCCGTTTTCCTCCTCGCAGAAATCCCGTCAGCACCGCCCTAAGCACCTTTACATATGCCCACATCCCAGTCCCTCCCACGCACACACCTACCTACACTTACAAATCATGTAATCTCTCCTCCAAAACAAAAAGACACACAGACACTGAGATCTTCCTTCTTTGATTGTCTCTCTATTAACTCATCCAAATCTTTCGCTCGGAACCGGAAAAAAATCCTCTCGTGAACCAAGTCCAAGTTGGCCGCTGACCAGGTCTCCTAACACCGGCTCACGTCAGAACCATAAAAAACTGCCTCCCCAAAGAAGTCCAAATTCATGCCCATCGTCGTCTCATTTTTTTCCCCAGTGATGAAACAAATCTTCATTGTAAGACTTGATGCTTTCCCATTGGGAATCTTCCCGCGCGGATGCCTGCTTCTAGAACTCATCAGATTGCTTCTACCGAGCCCGCGCCTCCCCATCATCCTTCGAACGGCATGTCATCCCCCGTCAAACAATGGACAAGGCAGAGAATGACGTGGAGGAACAGCTTCCTTGCCCTCTTTGTCACATGAAAGCCATGACAAATTTCACGAGCTGCAAGCTATCTACCCCATAGAAGCCCAGTTGTCCCCATTATCTCCGACACCTGCATCCTCCTCCCCCCAGTTCCCCTTCAGCCCTGTATATAATACAAGGCACGCATTCCGCGGCTCCATGTATGTGCATCCCTAACGGATTGGGAAAGTTCACTGCCTATGTACCATGTAGCCGCTTTTCTTCCCTTGAACGTTTCTTACTGGGTACCTTATACGTTTGTATGTTTGTATGTATGTTTGTATGTAGGTATGTATCAACAAGGGGCCCTGCTGCTGGCTGCACGCCTCGATAACGTAAGGTACAGTGGGAGCCGACTTACTGTCCGTCTAACAAGCTAGGATAACGGTTATCGGCGAACGGATACCCGTTTGCTGATCTCAAGTCATGCAGTTCGTCATCAAGGAAAAGGCATTACTCGCAACTCGGTCAGCGGCACGCCCTCACCTTGTGCTATGCCATCTCGATACCATGTATGAAGGAGAGTCGCCTCCGGACTACACGTCAATCGCAAACAACTTCCTTCTCATCGACTCCCTATTATATTGTACAGTAATCAAGCATCCTAAATCCGCAAGGCATGTAAGTGAGCAAATAGGTAACGTAAAAAGATGTATGTGCCAACCCAGCAAGTAAGCAACACCAGCCCTAGGAGTTTAGCTACATAATCCATCGGTAAACCGCATCTCAACTCCGTTGCCATGTCATCCATCATCACCCAAAGGGCGGGAAAAAGGCGCAGTGAGCTAATTCGCTCCCGGACTTCCCCTCCGTGCCCTCGCCCTCTTCGCCTTTTCACAAGGTTGACGAAGCTCAAGGCCCTCAATCTTCTCTTTCCACATAATTCTTCCCCCCTTTTCTCTCTTCCCCTGCGTATGAATCGCTAACCTAGTTATACCGAGTCATAACTCCGCCGTATCATGAGTAAGTCCGTCCTCGCATCATTAATCACCCAAAAAAACCCACCGATGACTGACTGAGTGACATTCTGATCCTCACTCTGTCTCTTCCACCTCGCCTCGCTCCGCCCCCCCTTCATATGTCCGGGAACCTGTCCGGGAACCTCAACTCCCTGTCAGCCCATTAAGACAGCCCTAAAAGGATGGACTCACACGACACATCAGTGACAAACGCCAACCAGGGGACGGCGGACCGCGTCCGTCCAGGGATGGCCAAGCTAGGAAGACTCCAAGGATAAACGAAAAGTGATCGGGGACGTCAAACGAACGGGCTGCCCCGTGCTCGACTCACTAAGAGGTGCCCGCTTACCTGCCCCGATGAGATGTTGGTCACCGTACTTCTTATCCTTGACACACACACACACACACACACACACACACACACACAAGCACTTAGACACTCCCACGCCCTATTTGTCACAGAGCTGGCAACCTTTTTCGTGGCTTCCAGGGATTCCAGAGAGAAAGCGGGAGAAACAGAAACGATGCGTTAGACACCTTCTGCCAGTAGAAACGGCACGAATAAGGTTACGGGCTAGAAACGAGAATAGGGGCCGAGGCCTTCCTCGTTCAAGGTAGCGTTTGCTGCTTGTAGACACTCGACCGAGCGAGTAAGACTAGGATCCTGGTTCATTTGTTTGTCCTGCATGTTCAAGGATAAAGAGAAAGTAAAAAAAAGAGGCGCGGTCTAATGCAGATGGCTGGCGGATCGAGGGGCATCCCCGCGTTCGTCAAACACAAGGTAGGTACTCCATATGTACGTCCAGGCTAAAGTATCATGGCCTCTGACACCAAAGTCTTCACTTGTGCGGTCAGCATAAAAGAGATGAAGGTGAGGAAGAATCATAACGTCGTAATATTTATAACCTGATAAGCTGTAGCTCAATGGGAGAAGAGAAAGGAGGAAAGGAAGATCGTCAAAGAGCCCAATCACAACCCTTTGTGTACCATTCCAATGAAACAAGATCGACTCTGTATTACAGTGCAGCTTAAGAAGTGCTTTTGAAGGAGAATCAACAGATAAGAGAAGAGAAGGGGGAGTACGCAAGCAGGATATTGACGTGAGCGGCCATCTACCAAATATGAGAATAAGCTGGGGTGGAAAAGCTAAGAAGCAAAAGAGGAAAAGAAGGAGAACGGGAGGAAACAAGGTTGGAACAAGGAGATGTAACGAGGCGCCCACCCGTGTGTAGGTAGGATGGACAAAGGTGAATTTAGGAAGAAAATGCAAAGGGACAAGAAGTAAGAGTCCTGCGCCTCCCGACTTGGTTTCATGCATACCTAGGATAATGCAGCAAATCCGTGCCTCCCCCCTGCAAGCGCTATTCCTTCTAAGAGTCAACTCAAAAAAGACAAAAGAACAGGAAAGAACACAAAAGGTAGGCGTGCAGAAGGAGAAACGCTGGTAAGGCAGTAGAGAGCGTCGGAAGCAGATTAGCCAAGGCCGGGTTCGTCCGCTGAGGCAACACAGTCGTGCGCGCGCATACGCCCCCCTCCCCCCTTTTTGGGATGGCTGGGCTTTCTTCCCTCCCGTCTGTCTCCTGCCCGCTCAGTAATCCCGCTTTCCGATACATCACCGCATCTCCTCTGGAGTCACAGTAGCTCCATAGAAACCTCCGCCGTTGGCAGCGCACGCAAGGCAGGTACCGCCCCCGTAGACGCGTGTATGACGAGTCCAGCCAGCGCCGTCGCGATCGAGGACGGAGAGTATCTCGCCGTGGACGTCGACGTTACGGTGACCGTGGTCATCGAGGTCCAAGTCCAGGCCGGAAGGAGGCGCAGGCGGCAGCAGCCCAGACGACGGTGGGTAGGAGCTGGGCAGAAAGATGGGATCCACGGATTCAGCCTTGGGCGATTGCGCTTGGGGAGAGTGAGCCCCGGGGGCGCTAATGGGGAGCGTCCGGGTGTAGGATCGGCGCCGAGGGATAGAGGCAGCGTCTGGGCTGCCCGTCTGGAAGGCAGTGGTGGACGTTGAGGACATGTAGTCGGGGTTGGGCTGGTGGATGAAACTTTGGCTGCTGGGGGACGGCTCGTTGTCCAAGGTGAAGACGGCTGTGCTCAGCTCCGGCGGAGTCAAAGGTGGCGCGGGAGGCAGCCGGGAGATGAAGGGTCCAGGCAATGCACCGCCAGCGCCTCTCCAGTGTGAGTGCCGATCCGCCATCGTGCTTGCAGTGTTTGTCGTCGTCGTCGAGGCTGCTGCTACCGCCGCCGCCGCCCTCAGGTCTTCGTGCTGGTCACTGACCCCTTGAATGCTCTTTTCATCGTCCATTGGCCCAATGTGTGGCTTGTGCTGTCTCTGGAGCGGCGGGTTGTTGGTGGGCAGAAAGGAAGCAGAGTCGCGCCTCTGGGCTGGTCTAAGCCATCGGTAGATGGTCTGCACACAGTAGCGTGCAATGATGACCAAGGCAAAAATAGACAGTCCGGTTCGAACTGACTCCCAGGAGGGCGGTTGGGCTTTCAAGTAATTGTAGTCGGCGCCGGGTAGGCCTCCACGATTGGTTACGGGCATGGTGGACTGGGAGGTGACTGCTTATGGAACTCGGCCTGGCGCCGTCAGCCGGGGTCCCTGCCAAGTCGCACTATTTCTGCGGTCAGACGGCACTCTTCTGCCCTACGGCGTTTGGTAGGGCGTTTGCGGCGACCCAAGATACGGTTGAGGCGGTTGCCGTTTCGCAGGACTCTAATTGGCAACCTCCGGGCCTGTTTCGAGGTTCGGCACACTCGGATATTGCTCTGCTGTGCTTTGACGTGCCTTGCTTTGTCAACGACGATGCCCTTTGCTTTAAATGACCCAGGGCCGGAGGCTGGAGGCGGCGCAAGCCAAAGTGACACGGGGCTTGCTGCGCAAAGGTGGCAATTCGTGTGGACTGGTTATCTAACTGCCAGGCGCTGTTCCGGCGAGTGTCTTGGGCTGTCTCGTGTCGAAGTAGGGAGTAAGAAGCTTGTACAACATCGATAGGTCGTTGCCTGTGACAAGGGGGAGTGCTGCGCTACTCAGTTGAGCAAGGGTTCTTCTTTTCCTCTGCTGGTAAAAAACGAGAAACAGCTGGCGGGAAGAGTGAATGAGTGAGACACAACCACGGGGGGGAGAAAACAAGATATGTGTCGTCGGGGTGAGATGAACCTTAATATAATTCAGAATGGGATGGGATGGGATAGGGTACGGTGTGTCTCTCGTGCGCGTGGCTTTCTCCCCCCCCATCTGTCTTCTCCTTCGCGAACAGAGGGGCAAAGGGAGGAGGAAAACTTCCACGCGCGCTAGATCCCACCGGGGAAGCGCATAATACTGGTCGTCGAAATAGCAGCAAGGCCAGGTCAGAGATGCCCAGCGGGAGTAGCCTCTCAGCCATCCCAGGCAAGCCTGCAGCAGCAGTAGAGAAACATCCGAGGGAAAGGGGGGAGGGGGTGAAAGTATGGCCCGTAGCACCGCTAGGGCAGAACAGACTCATGTCGAGTACGAAACAGGAGGCGTACGGATTGGCAAAGCCACGTATGGAATGGGCACGTCTGTACTTCGTACGGAGAAGGTACTGTCAAGGAAGACTGACGCTGATGGTAGCTGGAGGTTGAGCTGGGGGTGTGGGATCATAGTGTTGCTGGCAGGGTCTGTGCTATGCTTGCTGGGCTGGATGCTTGTGATTTGCCTCGCATGGCCTCGCATGGCATGGCATACGCTGCTACTAGTAGTAGTATAGCAGGAGTGCCTGTCGTAGCATGTCCGTTTCCACTCGGACCCCTCCCTCATCCAGCCCGCGGGAAGAAGCACCCTACCGCTGCCATGGGGTATCGGAGCCGGCAGAGTCCACGGCGGGTCGAGGGAAGGGATGCGGAATTTGGATTGCGCCAAAGCGGTTGATCCTCCTTGCGGACGACGGGGCGTGTTTTGCAACATGGAGCGGCAGGGCGCGGCGGACCAGGGAGGAGAAGTGTAAGAACAACAAAGAGGAAAGATGACAACTTACACACAGGTCCGTCGTCCGAACAAAGAACACAGGTGCGTACAAAGCAGATACCACTCTCCGATGCTCCCCCGTTCCGCTGGTCTGGTAGTAGTCGTAGATGCTAGCACAATGTCACACTGTACGGCACTTCGTACAGCAGGCGCCAAAGCAGCAAGGACCGGAGAAGAGGGCGGCTCGAAACGGAGATCCCTGTTTTCAGCAGACAACAAGCAGCCCGCCCAACTGACGGCGTCCCTGACTCGCCCCAAGGGCCTGCTTTAGCCCGCAGGCATGGAACTTATTTGGGGCATGTTTCAGTGCTCGGCAGCGTCCCCGCCTGCCGTGTATGCGGTGTACTCGTATGTATGCTGGGCTGCGCTGTGTTGTGCTGGTCGGGCTCCGGTTCCGTAGCAAGCAGCAGCAAGATCCACGGAGCCCAGAGGCGGTTTGCTTTGCTGTTAGCGGTGCCCGCAATCGGCGGGAGCTGGCACCCGGAGACGTGAGCTTCAGCTGAGGTGAGCCCTATCGAGACACCCTCGGTGCGAGCCCATGGCTTCCCTTCCCTTCTTCTTCTGTCTCTGCCTTCTCTGGAGACACAGGGATTGCTGACGGAGACGTTTGGCCAGAGACTCGCCATGTGGACGATCCGGGCAGGGAAAAGGAGTGTATTCGCTGGCTTGCTGTTTGTGTATCCCGAGAGTCAACGGCGGCAGAGAGAGACATGGAGTGAGAGAGGAAACAAGCTGCAGCCGAACGCAGCACAGCACATGCCGGCACTGCAGCGATGCCTATTCGGGCAGGCTGGGAGGTCCGTAACCGGTACTTTGCAGCGCCATGATGTGACTTGATGGCCTCGTGCGGGTTTCGATTTCGTGTCAAGTCAGCACATGGTGCTTTGATGCAGAGTCAGTCCGTCAGATCCAAGCTGGCCAGAAACGGGTACAAGAGCAGAGAAGCAAAGCAGCAGAGAGCGAAAAGAGGGGAAGCGACCCCTCAGTCACGCTGTCGGGACAATCTGGAAGGTGCTGTACAGACGGAAGTACGGAGTACCTACCTTACGGTAGCGATAGAAACAGATGGAGGTACCGGTACCAGGCGCCCAGGTCCGGTGCAAGGCCCGACAGGACCGACATCCAGCAGGGCTCAGTACCTGTACCTTGCAGCGTCCATCAGACCGGACATGATGGCATGGCAGTCAGGGAACGGGTGCAGGTACACATGCAGTCGGGTTGTGCACGAGATACCTAGGTACCTCGCCTTACACGACTCGGACAGCATCAGTGGTGTCCAACCGCGGGAACTGGCTCGTAACATCTCGTATACTTGCCCTGTTCCGTGTCCGTGTGCTGACAACTTGAACATGGACGCTCTCGCACTCGTCTAAGGTACCTTACCTTACTCGAAGGTGCCTCGGTGGCTGGACCAGACCAAGCTAGGCCCTGCTTAAAGCGCGTGTGCACTGGCCACGGTGCATCTGGTGGCGTCCTAAACTCCCGTCATCAGGGCCTGAAAGAGGGCAATGGCTGCTCAACAAGAAGCAGAACGGCAGAATATGTTGTCGTGGCAGTCAAAAACTGGTCATTGGCTTCGATTTACTGAGGTCCCGCATGCAGCGCTTGTAGCGGGCAAGTAACTCGCGGTGGCTCGCTTGCGCAGGCCCCGGTGGTTCTCCGGGAGTGTACTTGGGCAGTACCTGATGCAGTGACGCTTGCGAGGCACCGGACAGGACCTGCTCAGCTGAAAAGGCGCAGCCCTAGACTTGGCGATCGAGCGAGATTGTCTTCCGCTTTGGCTTCTATTGCTGCGGATGCCCTGTACATACCTACGAAGCAGAAGCACGATTCCGTTGCCACCGTTTCACCGGAGAAGCAGCAGCAGCAAACAATCTGGACAAAACCCAATGCTCGATACGCTATGTACAACCAGACGAGCTGCCCAGGAATCCGGTGCCAAAGGGTGCCAAAAGGGGCCAGGGACCGGTGTGGTTTGCGCATTGATTCCGCTGGCAAATAGAGTTAAACCTGCGTCACTTGCATGGCCCAAGGCAGCTGAAAAACCTGGTGGGTGCGGGATATCGCGCGAGACATGGTGTGGCCGTTAATTTGCGTTAGCCAATGCATGCCGGCCGGACAAGCAGCATCGAGTCACAGGGACCGTGAGATGCAGCATGCCCCGATTATTACTGCGAGATGCGGGCAGGGGAGGGCATCATGATTACAGTACTAGTAGTACTCGTACTTGTATGAGGAGGCGGAGGAGGAGTAGAAGTAGGATGGTGATGATGGAGACGGGATGGCGAGTTAACGCAGGAGAGCCTAGTACAGCAGCATGAATGCATCAGCAAGCATCTAGCATCAACCAGCATTCATCATTTTAAAGGAAGACGCACACCATGGCTCTCTTTGGCAAGATCCGGTACTCATACATGCTTCGTACATGTCTCCCGTCGGCGACGTGCCCAACCTGAGCAAGCCATAAAGCCAACAAGCCCCGAGTCGCGGAAAATGGCCGTCTTGAGGATGTCATGGACCAACGCCTGCGCGCATGCGACCACTCCCGCGTCTGTCAGATTAATTAAAATATTTCAGCCGGCGCATCCTCGCTCGTGATGCAGTAGAAACCAAGCAACATTGACTTGATCATAGCCAGAGATGCCTGCACATCGACGTGTATGACTGTGGTGAAGCCGGGGACCAGGTACTCCATTACCTTACTCAGAGACAATCCCTCACCACTTCCGAGCACCCGAGGCTACGATCCTAGCACAGCAAGATGCGCACATGGTCAATGAAATAGGCAAGCGACCTAAATGGTCCCTATCACGGCTCTTCTGGCAATAGCCTCGAAGCAATTCCAAGCCATCTTGGGGAGTGGCTGGCTCAAAACCCAGAGAGCCGGTAGCGAATCATACTGGGCGAGTCTTTGACCGGCGGTTGGTTTGCCACGAAAATCCAATATTGAAGTGAGTGAGTAGGTACGGAGTACCTGCACGGGTAGCGGTACGAGAGCGCAGTTCGATGCCTGCCCAGCTGACTTGGCGGCGAAAGAGAGCTTCTAGAACACCCACCCACCTTGCCCACTTTCTGCCGAGCTCCACAGCGCCGGGCTTCCATGTAAGTTGAGGTACGTGGGTACATACTTGCACTCTTGCGATAGGACCGCAATAACACGCCTCTTGCTGCGATCGCATATGTATGACTTGGCAGCATCACTGTTCGCCTTGGGACGCCACCTCGACAGGCCCCTGGAACTGACTTAGGGCATACCCGCAGCTCCTCGAGAGCTGCGGCTTGAAACCTGCTTCGTGTTTCCCGTACTACCTGTTATTACCAAAGCCTCATGTGCTCGCAACAGGCACCTCCGTCGACGGAGGATACCTTATGCTGGGTAAGGTACCTTATACTCCGTACAAGTAGTACAATGGATCGCTTCGGTACCTGCCGCGTTCATACGAGGGTTGACGCCTTCCGTTTCTCAATTCCACTTTCTGCCTTTCACTTGCCGCATTTGTTACACGGGCGGCTGATGCCAGCTCCAGTCCTTCCTGCCTTCCGCTTCTTCTAGGAGA